TCATCTGCAAGATCAAGTGCTTGCATAATGGAAACATGCTTTAATATGACAGTATACAAGAAATCATACATTCATTATGATTTCTACAAGTGTCCTTGTAAATCAGTGGTCTATAATCAGTAATTTGTTGTATAGCCTGATTTTAGCATAATTCCCAACATGTGATAAAACTTAACATTTAAATCAGGATTAATGTAGAAAGTTAGAGGAACATCTTCCAGACATCTATGGGCTTAACAAATGTCCCAAATTTATAATATTTATATTTTATTTGTATACATTTCATTTAAAAAGTAATATGCTATGGGAGCACAGTGAGTATTTCATTCTATATCTAAAGTAATTCTTAAATGCTCTTCATAAAAACATCAGATCTTTTAAGTGCTTTCAGTAATTTATATATGTAATCATCTGATTTATTTTGAAACTGTTATTGGATAAGTAACATGTCTACAATTCATATGCCATGAAATTAATAAAGCTAGTAATAAAATACTCTGTTAACCAGAACCAAAAGTTCATCCTTGTATTTTCATAAAACCGTATTAAATCTAAACTGGAACACCATTGTATTAAGAAAGCTATGAAACACTGCTGCCATCTACACAAATTAGTATTGAAGAAATCTGGCATCTGTTTCACTTTCATTTTGCAGTAATATTTTTTTTCAGACAGCAGCTTTAGAAACCTTGCTGTTGGGATAATTATGCAGTTTATTGAATTTTCTTATTATTTTTTTCCTTTTTGTAAATCTTTTCTCAAAGGAATGCCTTTTTCTTCTGCTATGGTTCTCTAGCAAAAGTTAATTCTGTAAATTTAATAAACAGGGCATTTTTGAACACTATGATAAACAGACAAGAGACTATTTTAAATAGTATTCAGAACAATTCTGCTTAAGCATAAGAAAAAACTCCTAGGAAGAATCATTTCCACTCACCCATATTTCCACTAACTCACTATGTAACTTCCTGAATACATCATAGATATATTCCATATATTCTATAATTTTACATTTGTCTCAGGTAAAAATAATTCTCTCCAAAACCAAAACTTAAATCTCCTGCCCAACCAACCTAAGAGCAGCTAACCTTCATTAAAAAAGTTGCTAAAGAAATAGCTCATATAGTGCTGGACTACAACCAATTTTTCTATGTCAGCAGAAATCTGTCTTAGGTATACAAGTACTTCCTTTTTATGGTGAATATATTTAATTCCAGAAAGTCAAAAATATCAGTGCAAGCTTAGCATAATTCCCCAGTATCCCATTCAGTGACATTCAGGACTAAGAAGCAGTCTGTAGGCCCAAGGTTTTTTTAGTTTTTTCCACTCATGAAAACCACAGAAACCAGATGAACCCAGAAACCACAATTCTAAATTATATTGACACATGGTGAAACCAGAATTTTACAGTCACAAAGTAATTGTGCTTCTGCTGTTCCTATAATGCTACACCCACTACTACTTCTCATTACCCACTCTCTTGTTCAAACCCTTTTCTTCAATAGTCTGTATCACCTCATCTGGTCAGCCTTCTGCTGAAGGCTATATCCCAAATGGGAACTGGCAGTCACCTTCCCAAGGCACAGCACTGGCAGCACCACAGCCCTCACAGTATCTCAAAGTGCCTCCTGTGTACACATATCATGCTCAGAGCTCTTTTGAGAAAGAAGGCAGAACTCAGCCCTTGCAACCCTAAGGGGAATTGGCAGGTAGATAAGCGTCCAAGTTCTTTTAGTAATACAAATAAAGGCTTGGGAGTTGCAAAAGGTAAAATTTGAGTCATAGGTCCTACAGGGATTCAGTGCATTAACGTATTTGACATCAAACACTCATTTAATCATGGTGAATAACACGCTCCACACATTCCACACAATCTCCCCGAGACATTTTTCAAATGTCCAAGGCTGTTACTACTACACTAGAGCTAGAGATTACCTTCCCACCCCTTTTTCTTGACCTCTGTATGAGGTATGCATTCTGTGCTCCGGTGAGAGCTAGAAATTACACCAGCTCCAGTTATATCCAGATTTTCTTTCCACCACAGAAACTATATGCTCAGCAGCATGAAGTCCCATATTTTACTGTTTGCAGCTGCAGTAATACTGAACAAACATTTCAATTATTTGACTACTCCAGAGCAATACCTGAAGATCACTATACCAATAATGTGAATTTTAATTTATATCCAACTGATACCCTGTAAGCTAATTTTCAGGGAAAACAAATAGAATAATTTCATATCTAATAATTTTTACTTCTCACTTTAAATACATAATAATTTTTAGATGGATCTCTAAAAAATTGATTATATTTCAGTATTTTTGCTCAAGGTTTCCACTAAAATAACATGGAAATAGGTCAGTTGGAATGTTTAAGCTTAAGCATATCAATGAGCAGGACAGGGGAAGTTTGATGAAGAACCTTTGGTACACGTGAGAAATTCCATTGGTTGTAGGGACCTGAAGAAGAGGAACCAGCCCCTACTTGCTTCAACAGAAAATAATTAAGACTGTCCAAAAAAGAAGAACACATAACAAAATTAGGATAAAATGAACTAAGAATAGAAACATCAAAAAGAGAAAGGAAAGCAAGAAAAGAGAAAGGAAAGCAAGGAAGTACCCAGCACAGTAATGAAAATCTCACCTGGTAACTGTGAGAGAATTGCAAAGATTAAATAGAGGTGATACAGAAAAATAGGTCTTAATCTGTCCAGTTCATTGTGAACTCAAGACTTTTTTCCCCTTCCCCTTGCAAGATCTTTTATTTTTTCCAACTTGTAAGGTTTCCTGAACTGTTCTTCAGTTTAAAAAAACCATGTGTTTCCTATCTTTCCACATAAGTAATTATTGCTACTCTCTTCTGCAGTATTTCCAAGTAGTCTTTTTTTTTCCCAAAAGTGAGATGGCCAAAACCCCTGGGAACACAGCTTCTTTGGCTTTCCCCTAAAACAGGATAAGCTCCTCCTCTAGAAATAACTCACACCTCTGACCTACTGAGTCTTGAAGAAAATGTGAAGGTGCAGCTCACTCTAAACACTGGATCCATTTTGCTGAGCATTACATGGACAAACACATTATTCATTTCCTTGTTGGTAAGCCCTGCCTCTCACCTTGGGGGAGAGACGGCAGGAAAGCACAGCCAAAGGACATTCAAAGGGATAAGGAGGTTGAAACCTTTCTCCTGTTTTGTCTAGACTCTCTCACAGCTTTTCACTGAAAGGTTCATTAAAAACAGAATCTAGTTCAGTAAACAATTAAGTGCTTTCATCACATATGTCAGGTATGAATATTTCATAGAACAAAAGGCTTCGACTATTTATTTACGCCCTATTGTTCTTAAAGATTTGGGCACATGCAGACAAAAACATAATCCTGTAAAGGCGATTTGTTTTCTGTTGTACTGAAGATTAATTGTATTACATTCTAATCACAGCAAAAAAAAAAAAAAATAGACAAAAAATTAAGAGTCTGTAAAAAAGATAGGCGTAAAATAGTCTTTTACTCTTATCACTGCTTTAAAATATGTATCATCAGGAGACTGAATCCTACTCTAAGTACCATCTTCAGCACCTCTAACCAGCCAGACCAGATTCTTTACGGATAATTTTTCTTACCTGTACAGCGGAACTGCATTCCCCAGCCACCCTCAAAGAGCACTCAAGATATAGAGATAAAGTATGTACTTGGTACAATTACAATAAAGTAAAATACCTACCAGAGCCCCAGGGAAAAAAAAAAAAAAAAAGGGAGAAAGTAAAGGCATGCCACTGTGAAGCCTATGTTTTACATGTTTCTTTGGGAAAATCTTCCAACAGTTTCTAAGGATGCACCTGCAGCCGTTATCCATAACATGGGCTGACATGAAAAAGCTTATACTCAAATCAATACTGCTGTGTTTATACAAGTCCAGAGATAGCTTTAAATAATTAGAAGAGCTGCTAAGGTATTACAGCTACAAAAAAAAGTATTTTTTTTATTCTTTCCAAAGTCTTCCTAAATTATAAGGAAAAAAACTCCATGCATGTTTTAAGAAGTGCTCCAAAGTCTGTGATGGACACATTAAGAAAAGTAAGAAAATTTGGGATTATTTAATTCTGAGCTACTGTCACTGTACAACTACTGGAAAACATTACCCCTCTAAAATGGACTCAATCAGGATTACAGTAGTCTATACCTTCCATTCAGGTTGCAGGAGAGGATATACAGACTGATTCTGCACCTCTATTTTTATATTCCTCTATTTTATCTACCTTTCTTGTGTGTGTGAGAAAACTTCATGTTTTATCACTGGTTTATTACAATACTAGTTATCATAAGCAGAAAAATATGGTATTAGCTATGAAAAATGAGTTTACTGTCAGTTGGATAGTTTGGATTCTGTACAAGTCCTTGGAGAGAGCAACAGCACAGGATTTTTGATCAGCTCTTCGCAGGATTTTGCGAGTTGTAACTTGCATGAAAAGATCCTCATTTACAGAGTTCCACTAAGGCTACCTGATTACTCTGGGTGACATATAAAGGCTGTAAAGCATCTTCCTGTACATGCCAGCTAGAAATAGATACCAGAGCAAGTGATGAGCTGAGCAATTTCAGGACAAGGATGAAAACAGGAACTAGACCAGATCCAATCTGTAAAGTAAATGATTAACACGAGCACTTTTGGTAGGCGACTGTTTCATCCTGTGACTAGCTGAATTCTGATTCCTAAAATCAACACAGCAGAACAGAGGGTGTTGGGCTAATGTCTCTGTTTACTTACATTATAATCACACTTATTCAATGCATGGTTAATGACTAAGCACACAGTGTATCTATAAAGCCCAAGGACACAAGGTACCAAGGTTCTGCTTCACTGTTACTTTGGAGCCTAATGTACTTCATATCAGTTTGATTGGATGGCTTCTCACAAGTCTCCAAAACAGAACAAGATTTAATTACTCTTGCTTTTAATCTAGGGAAGCTACTATTCCATCTCAACATAACTTGAAGACTTGTAGCAAAATGTATTGTGGAGATTACGTGAGTATAATTATTTATTCTCTGAAATCTTCCAAAACGTTTCATTCCTCTTGAGTTGTCATCATGTGTTGGTATCCATTTCCCTTCACTGGTAGAAATTAATCTTAGGCGAAGATAATTTATCTGTGATTTGGGTCTAATCTTGGTGTTTCTTAGATATATATCTGAAGTGTCTGAAACAAAGACTAAAATAAAAAGAATTATCAGTTCCTGTCTCATAATTCTAGACCTTTCAAGAAAAAGCAATGCAAGCCTCCTTGTGAGGACCTTTAAGGCAGATTTTCCATGCTCACACTAAGCTGCTACTACCCAACCGTATAAAAGATAAAAATGGGAATCTTTCAGAAGATGCCTATTTCTGGCACTATTTTGATGGGGTTATAATTTGACAAGACCATCATAACAGCATAAAGTAACTAAATAGCTTTATCATTTACGAAAATTTGTTTTGTTCATAGCGTGAAAAATATTTTAAAGTAAAAAAATGCTACCTCTACAAGAGCCACAACACAAGAACAGTTATCAGTGATTTTTTCCCCATCAAAAAGCTGCACAATATTTTAAATGGCTTCACTAGCGCTCTTTGAGGAAAAAAATGTTTCAATGAAATTTTAAATCTCCATTCTGGAAAGTGGTGGAGTTACTATATCTTGACAACAAAATATCAAATTTCTCTCTGTACCTGGCATACTGATCATCATGTTCTCTAAGGATTTTGTTTCAATTATTATTGGTATGAATAATGATTCATTCCTTCCAAAGGCTTCTTACATGTACAGTCCCAACTTACAAATCAATATGGACTCTTCTAAAGGATAAATATTTTTTCCTTTCTTATTTTAAGTATAATTGACTAATTATTCCAATCTTTCTATTCTGATAAAATTATATCACACATATTTGCTTTTCTAAAGTGATTGCTATTGAATCATGATTAGTAATATATTTGGTTTTCTGCAATTTGGAATCTTGCATCCTTTACTAGACAGTTAAGAACTTAAAAGATATTTCCTTCTTAGTTTCTTTTTTTTTTCTTTTAATTACAGTTAGAATTCGTAATCTATTCCTGATAATTTAAGGAAGACAGAACAAATACTATACCTTAAAAAGGTAGATTTGTGTCTGTTGTAGAAGACAAGGAAGACAGTTTCTTTTCTTCTACTGATTTATTGCAACCAATTATGTTTAAATAATGACACTGTATCTGTATATAATATGTTGTCCTGATATTAATGGTAGTACCTTATAAAATAACTTCGAGAAGAAATTATTTAAATTCATTACAATTGGTAATTATTATATTTGCAATAATTCAGTATTTTGATAGCATTATAAAGAAAATCTAATAGATGAGACAATTTTTAACTGGCAGATGTTTGCAATGGTATAAGGCTTAATATAAAGTAACTATTACATATTAGCCTAATGAACTACTTGAGCAGAAGGGACACAGGTTTCTAATTATGATACACTGAATTACACCAAAATACCCCAGAATAAATGGTTTTAATGTAAACTCTTTATCCCCTCTTCTCCTAAACATAAAAGGCACACTGATAAACGCTTTGTTTTTTCATAATCACAGAGACACGAGAGCAGAGAAGCAACTGTAGACAAATGGGGACCATATCAGTCCCAGGAAAGACAGGAAATCTGACTCCAGGCTTTCTCTGAAAAGTATTGGGATGGATTCCCAGGTTAGGTGAATTTTTACTCTTTATTCCAATTTCCATGTGTTATGGAATGGAAAGGGAGAGAAATTAGGTATTCTTATGAACTAGATCACTGGATCCTAGGAACAGCCTTCCCTTCTGAGGCATCCAGACAGAATGGGGACATGGGGACAGAGCTGCATGTAAACATTCTCCCCTAAATGCTGCTGGTATTTCAAGAGCAATTTGGTCATGGAGCACTGGCAGTTTTCTTTGAAGAGACTCAGCAACAGAATAGCAGAAAAATCACTCTAGCAAGCCTTAATCAATAAAACAGGGCTTATACAGGACTGAGTGGTGAGACCGTAGCATGCATTTCTTCTCTACTCTTCTTAAACGCTACTCTAGATTGCAAAGAAGTCCTCTAAGTACACTTTGGACTTCGGGATATTTTTCAAGAAATTCCAGAACATTGAATATATCATTAATTCAGAAGCATAAGAAAAACAAACAAAAAAAACAAACAAAAAAAAAAGCAGCATTGCTTTCAAAATGTGCTTTTTTTCTTTAAGATGATCTTCTTTATATTTTATGCTGCCCATATCAGTAATTACATACATTATCTGTAAGCAATCAGGATGGAGTCCTTCAAGATCAAGAATGAGATATACAAACTGTTAACAGCAACAGCCCTGCCAGATTCAGCAATTCAAGGCATCATCCTTATCAGAGATTACATACAAAAAACACCACAAAACAAAAAATACCCTATAATACATGCCACAGGTAAAACTACCAGAAATTAGAGAAGATGACATCTGTGACCTCTCTGAAATACATACACAGAGAGATGGAAGGTTTTGGAGAATGAATTTTCCAAGTTTAGAAGTATCCCTTCCAGTTACTGTATCATATATTATTGAAATTAAATGAAACACATACAATAAACTCACAACAAATACTCATGGAATTTTTATTTAATAAAGTTGCACTCAAATGATATCTTTGGAAAAGTATAGCTAGCTCATAGCATGTGGTTAGCTAATAAAGAAAACATTTTATTTTAGGAGACATCCCCTATGGGAAATATTCAGACAAAGGAGTCTGACTTGATTTGTTATCAGCAGAATGACTTACTGAACAAATATTATTAGAAGGTTGTTCATACTTCAGAATTCTTTCCATCACAAGACTGAATTGCCTCAGGTTTGCACATCATAACTTGATAAAAGCAGCCTCACCTTTCACTGATACTTTTGTTGAACTGCTTATGAATTAGTAACAGCTTTTACTGACCATTCTTGCTTTTGCAAAGAAAGAAGGTAAATTCCAAGTATCATTTTCCAGAACCATTATAAATTTTTCAGACCCTTTCCAATCTTTTTCATTGTTTGATTCATTCCACCAACATTACACAAAGCTGTTCTGTCTGCTCAGCTTAATTTGGAATGAGTTTCTTACAGGAGAGTTAAAAGAATATGTACAAAACCAGAGATACTTATACTATAAGTAGACAGATCTGTGGTTTTGAACATGAGGGTATCCTGAGATCAGAGATAAGATTAAATATCTTAATATAAAAAATTATTGAATCACCTTTGGGGATTTACTTGCTTATACTTTGACACTTGTGAGAAAAAAAAAAGCAAAATGTTTTTGATTTTTTCCTTCTGAAAAACAGATATCCCCTTCACCAGGATGCTGCAGTGGAAAGACAGCATGAAAACCATTCTTCTATGTTCACATACAGCAGTTTGTCTACATTAACCCACAAAAAGGCTAAATTGCTCTTGGAAATTACTTTTCTCTGATGCTTTTTGAAGACATTCTTTGTAATGCAGAAAAGTCTGTCGCACTGAATACTAATCTTGCAATGAGAGCTCCAGCAAAATGATGACTATGTTGTGAGGGATGCTAGAAGCCAGATATCAAAATTAAATTGTACAATTCTTTACATTTTTTCAGTAACTATAGACATTTCCCCCTTCTTCAGAAAGTTTGGCTCCATTTGTGTATATTCATCAATCCACCTGTTCCTAGCTCTAACTTTGAACTTTATAATGAATTTCAATCATATTGGTAGAGGAATGCAATCTCTTCTGAAGTTTTGTGGAAACACTGTTCGGTGAGGGAACTAAATTCTATTATGAGTTTAAAAATAAAGCAGTTGGAACTCAACAGTCATTTATTCCATTGGCCTAGCACTAGCCAAATAACACATCCAGACTTTGGACTCAGTCATGGGACTGAGTCATATTTTACTTAGCCAGTGGTTGTCTCAGAAAGGACCCCATGGCTTGTTCCTAGAGGAACAAGGAGAGGAAATGAACTGCAAGTACATAGGGAAACTGAGACAAAAAAAATCAGGGGAAAAAACCCAATTGTTTTTATCTGCAGTGTTCACAGAACAAGTTGACACTCAGAGCATAACACAAGTTCCTTTTTCACTCAATCCCACACTACTGAGACTAATGGCTGTTTGATAATGTTGACTTATTTTGAAATTTTTATTGGAGAAATTCCTGTTAATTTCTTTATTTGAAAAAAATTATAGAATTGTTAGATTGAATAGCGAGTGGGTAGGCCACCCACCCCAGTCTTTGCTCATTAAGGGTAGGAACCAAAAGCTCCCTGAAATCAAAAATACTTTCATTGATGCTATCTGTGAAACTAAGAAAAATCTGTCACAATAAGAATATTAAACAGTGCAAAAATGTCCCTGCTCTTTTCCACTTGCAAAAATATTTCTGTCACTTTGTCACAATTTGTTTTACTGGTGTGGATGGGTTGGAGAGCATTGTATTTAGAGAAATGATATTCAGTGAACATGAACTTCTTCTGACATCACCAAGACAACCACAATGCAATTTTCACTTCTGTGCATTTAACTTTGCCATGAAGAGCAGTTTCTGCTCATCCCTGCAGTGAACCATCTTAAGGCATGCAGAAGAAAAAACATGAGATCATACTGGTAATTTTCCTATGCTCTCCAGAGCTTAGGGAAGCAAATGATGTTGCAGAAGTAAAACAGAATTGGCCATAGATGCAAAACTGGTCATCCTGATGTCAGAGTCCAGTACTCTCTCACTAGGTTCTTTCAGATATTTCAGCCATAGAGGCTGTAATGTATAATATCAAGTTAAGTGATTTTACACAGGTTTTCCTAGCAGAGTAATACAAAATGTGCTGAAAACATAACACAGATGTAATACAGATGAGATCTGCATTACTACCTTTCATGACATTCATGACATGCTCTCTGCTGCACTGCTGGCCATCATGGGTAAGGAATTTATGGGTTTAAGTCAGCTGACTTTAATTATTTCCAAGTTATTTTGCTACCTTTTTAGTATTTATACTCTGTGTTGGACTTAGACAGGTATCCACTCCCCTCATGCTCATCTGGCCAAGTCAAGAAGACATTCACACACTTTTAGTGAAGTCATATGTAAACATTCATACCACCAGTTCATCCTCTCAAATGTTGATAGCTACACTCAGTCTGCTTTGTGCTGAGCTAAAATAAGCTCTTTGCACCAGCTGTGATTGGCCACATACTGCCTTTTTCCCTGAGCTCCACGGGCACACTGCTCCTGCTCAGCTCCACTGAGCTTTCTTCAGTTACAGGGGTCAATCACAGCCGACTTCAGTGGGAATGAAGTGAGAGAGCAGTACATGTAACTAGACTCAGATGTTCAACCAAGCCTAAAAAATGCCTTGCTTCAAAACAGGGCAGTAGATATTCTCTAGCCAAAAATAACAGGAAGGAACAATCTAGTCATATGTAGCTGCCTGTTCCCTGATCAAAACCCAATCTGTTGAAGTTTCATTCAGTAGTGGCATTCAGAAATGCCTCTACTTCTCTGCTCCCTCAGTTTCTGCAGTGATGAACATTGCTGCTAACTAGACATTTCCTAGGCATATTTAGGCAGGGCAAGCCTGTATGATTTTTAAGAAAACATGATTTTACACCTTGGGCCCTAGGTTCTCAAAGCAGAACCCCAGCTTTCCTACAACAACATTGTTTCGATATATTTCCTTAACTATTTGAGTTATTTTGAGCAAAAAAACATTGTAAGCACAGATGCTTCCAAAGTATGACAAGATTGTAACAAACCTTAGCAAAACAAAACGCCTGCCCCAATGTTCAAGTTCATGTCTCAGTACAGGAGATTACTCTAAGTCTTGCTCAACAACTACAAACGATACCACCTTTCCTTCTCCCCAGATACACCAAAGAGCATTAGAGTGATCATTTTCTCAGAAAAGCAAACCTCCTGAATTTTTCCATTACTTTAGAAGCAAGGTTTTATTTCTCACCTGCTATGTAGCATCTTGTTGCCAGAGGACAGAAGTGCTGTGTCCCAAATGCAGGCTCACTTCCTGACGCGCAAACACCAATTCACACACCGAGTGAATTTTTTAATTCTAGTTTGCACAAGGGAATGAGCTAAATGGTAAGCCACAAAAGACAACTACCTGATCATCAGACCTTCACAGAGCTAATAGATTTCAACAAACAGAAACATAGCATTCATTGGTTACAAATTACATAATTTTTTGTTAATTAGTAGTCAAACCCTACCTTACCCCACCCTGTTCCTACCTTCACTTGGTGGGTTTAAAGCAGTGATCAAATGTATCAAAAAATGGTGTCTTCCTTCTCAGCTAACATACACAATCTTTCTTTGGTGCTTTTTAATTCCTCTGCTTAGATTTCAAGCCAGGCAAGAGTGATTAGTGGCCATGCACAAAATGTCTGCGTATGCCATCATATGTGAAGGCACAATGTACAAAAGACTTTCACGTATATTTAAAGCAAGAAAATTAATTAATTAGCATAATTCATGTAAGCCCTGATTCTAGGAAGCACGTGTAACAATATGCCACTCATACTTATAAAATATATCCCATATTTCTTTGAAATGTAAACATGAAGTTAATGGTGTCATTTTAATCTGATGTACTGACTGGGTTCAAGAATCGTCATAAAAGAATCTTTATATTTGGTATGTCAGATAAAGCAGACAGTATTCTCAGGCGAACTAAAGTGGTTAACCAGAAGACAGAGCTAAGTATCTGCCAAACTCAGTTATTTTCTTCAGTTTGTACTGGTCTGTGATTCTATTAAATTTAGTTCTTTTTATTCTTCACAAATTTCTTAGAATAAGAAAAAATACATGAAATAAAGTATCACTGAGAACGAGCTGACAATTTAATCAGTTACAAAGCAACTAGAAAAATTGCATTGTCTTCTGCATGGCAATCTCAAAACTATCTCGCTTGGCAGTAACATCACTGCTTTAATAAATCACCAGGTTGGTAAGTAACCTATGGATCTCATTCATCATTTTCTCATTAGTCCTTTCAAATTACAAATACCATGAGGAATAAATATTGAAGACTGTCAGGGATACCATGGATTAAATTTGAAATATGAAATATTTTTTAAATAGGTTGGCAAAGTGATTTACATTTTAAGGTAAATCCTCACCATTTTTTTCCTATTCAGGCCCAACTCATGCTAGGGGCAACTTCCTCCAATATGGTCTGTCTTCCTATGGTCAACTGCAAGTTCTGTTTCATAAATTAAAAACTCCACATCCTTCCTGCTCCTCATGGAGCAAAGAAAATTTAAATTATGATTACAGGTTTGCAGCAGAATAAGGTATATCATGTTAAAAATATAAACACCTCAATTAAAGTCTGCTTTTTTCTTTTGTAGACACAAGGAACAATTTTTCCTGCTCCAAATTTTAACCCTATAATGGATGCCCAGTTGCTAGGAGGAGCCCTACAGGGAATTAGTGAGTATCTTGACTGATTCTAACACAAATTTCCTCTCTTTCAGAAAGCTCTCATAAAGTATAAGGCAAAATACAAACTCATAAAATTGTTGCCACCTATCTGCAGATTTTTCAAGGAATCACAGTAAGACACACTGATGATGTCCAAATAAATCATGTGCATTTACAGGAACTAAGAGTTGATCAAGATTAAACTAAAATCCATACCAATACTTACAGTAATGAACACTGCATTGAGAAAACAAGAAAAACAGAATTCTGTGTTGCATCACTAGAGTGAGGGCTAAGAAATGAAAGAATTTTAGTTGTGACTTCAACAATTAAGTGCTACCAAGTTCTGCTAAGTCTCTTTTTCAGTCATAAATAAAAACAAATGGAATAGAAAGTTTAAAGAATTCATTATCTTTTCTGGTTTTGCTTTCAGTGTTGGTTCCAAAAAACTTTTGTTCACAAAAGGAATTTTTCTCAGTTCAGATTTTTAAAGTTTTCCTATTCAACCTTGTTGGTATTGCTGAGGGTAAAAATATTGATCTATATTTTTTTTGTAAATCTGAAATGTTTTCCTCACTTTAAAATTGCTCTCTGTATCATAGCTTTTATACCCCTTAGGCTTTTCACAAGACTGTACAGCACCAGATCTTGCATGCTGTTTTCAATTTCTTTAACGAAAATGTAAGGATTCAGATTTAATGTCAAATGAACCACAATAAGCATTATTCATCAAGGGGAATCTGAAGTGTCTTTATGACGAAAACTGGCTTCAGATTAAAAGTTTTAAATATCTCCCTACACTTCAAAGAGTACCTTTAAGATAATGTCGCTAAAATATGAACTATTTTAATGTTGTTAATATACAAAAATATAAACATTATATTCTTCATTTAATACTCTAAGTACAAGTACATGATATTCTTCATTTACCTGCCTATCAAAGTACATGGAACAAAGTTGTAATTTAAAGGACAATTGACAAAATAAACAGTTCATCATCAGATAAGGTAAAGTCACCATATCCTTTACAGGCACTGACACTGACCCTTAATCCTGCACATGGCATTCATTCTTATGAGGATGTTCAGTCACCTCTGCTGTTCCAGTGATACTACACAAGTTTCATAATATTTCCTATATCTGGATCCTTCACAGTTTTTACTATAGAGACTATGTAAGCTGTAAAGATTTCTAATGATAACTATTTTCTGAAAAGTAAAAAGAAATTGTTATGTACAGTATCCCAACCGTTGGGATGCAAAAACAATTTTAAAACTCCAACATAATTTTCTGAATATGCTATTATTTTTCATAAGCAATAATACAGATTCATTATAGAAGTTTACTAGTATGTTCTACCTATCAAGCAAACCATCATAGGTAACCTTCAACAAAATGCCCTCTGGAGTAAAATACTGTATTTTAAAACTTCATACAGTTCCTCTGAAATACTAACTTCGAGTTTTTCAACAAATGGTCTAACAAATTTATCATCCTCATAAAACAGATCCCTAATTCTTAAATGACAATTTAATCAATAGCAATAAAACATACCAGTATGACTTCCAATGCTCAGCCACAAATCCTGCTACTGAGCCTGGTTCTGAATCCTTGAAAGCCCCTGTTTTATTGATGCTTTCAAATCCACTGAGCTTGTGAGAGGTGATGATGCATCTGGTAATAACAGACTGCTTCACCTTTTGATGGTATTACACCAGCAAGTGCAAGACCAACAAGCACAGAAATCTAACTGATTGGTAAATATTAGCAGGATATCAGTATCTTGATCAGTTTTTCAAAAAATTAGTGTTCTTAAACAAAACACAAGCAATCACAAATGTAAGTAATTAGCACCACTTTGTTAATTTAGAGCCTGTGTCATTTCCTTTTCAGGTTGTGAAAAGGATGTGTTGATTGAAATCCTAACTCAGCGTTGCAACTCCCAGCGGCTCATGATTGCCGAGGCATACAGAGACATGTATGGCAGGGTAGGACAGAAACACTTTGTACTTTTATTACTTCTTTCTCTCCTCTCTCCTGTGCAGCTGTCAGCCCTTCTCTCAGGTCACTCACTGGAACCACAAGCCTGTCAGACAGCTGGCTGGCACAACAGGCTGGCACACAAATTTGCTCACTAGCTAATGATAACCTCTGATGGTATCACATTGTCATTTCTACAGCAGAAGTGCTGTCCGCCACAGAGTTAGAAAAGGACAAGAAAAGTTCCTTCTTCTACAGGCCATTCTTCTCTATTGCCCAACCTAAAATATCTGAACAGACTTATTTCTTCCTTTATGTGCTTTTGGGGGGTTTTGAAATACATTTTTCAAGTTTTTGGAATAAATAATAAAATAGTATTGTAACCAAAGAAAAACACCACAAAAAGAGTTATAGGCTTTTTATCTTACATAGTGATTAATGTTCACATCTCAAGCACTGACAGTCTGACACTTCATATAGTCCCATCTGTACAGTAAGAACTATAGTCATCTGAGCTGCTTAATGTTAAAGTTATTATCTTTGAAAGGTGTTTAAAATTTAAGACAAAGTTATTGTTAAAAAACTGTATTTTATCTATACTTACTGTATATAACAATTTTTGTTATCCAAGTTCTTAAACATACACAGAGATAGAGATCCTCATTTTATTTCCAGATCTACTGTTGCTAACCAACTAACTTTGGGAGAGTTGCAGTGCCTGCATTTTCCTTAGTTGCTACAGCTATATAAGGACAAAAATAACAGTAACACCCCTTGAAAAATCATTGTGAAAGTCATGAAAAGTACAGTGTAAAACTAGATACTATTTAAGTTGACTAGACATGCCCTTGCCCTGAAAGAAGGCAGACAAACACTTTGAAGAAAACTGGATTTTGTTCTTTTCCTGAAGCCTGTAAAACTAAGGACTCACTGGAAAATTCCTTCAAGGCCATTGTCCTTGAATCAATCAGCATGATTGAGAACAATGAGTTTGCACAAACGCTACCACAGAGCCATCTCCCTTAATTAGGGTTAACTAGAAATGGTTCATTGAAAAACCTCCACATTATGTGGTGCTTTTACACCTCCAGTTCATTAACCAGCAGAATACGTTTGGGGGCCAAGAAGTTTTCTAAAGACAATCTTTGTGCCAACTCTATACTAAAAAAAACCTCAAAACCGCTGACCCCTGAATAAGCTCAAACACACACTTACTGTACTAGAGCTGGAGAAAAAGAGCTGGATTTAATCAGTGTAGTAGGTTGATTTTGTGTTGTTACTCATCTCCAGGAGATCAATGACTTCATTTGGACTGTTAAGAAAAATGAAACACACAATAATCATATTTTAGACATAGCCTTGAATGAATAAGTATATTTTATAGAGACCATAAAAGAACAATAACTGAATCACAGCTATCCACCTTCCAGAGACCGTGACAGTGACAGAAATCAGGACCTAAATTATTAAACCTGTTTTTTTCTATTATGATGCATTTATTAGGTTACCAGCACACATGCAAACTATACAAGTTCAGTGTTTAGCCATACAATACTCCTAAGTTTTAATGTTACTTATAGCAAACTAAAGTATGTCAAGCTACCCAAAGGTGCCTGTGACATGAAGCACCCAAGCCCATTCTTCCCAAGTGCTTGTTTATCTCCACCACTGGACAGTCCTTCTCTACTCCATCCATAGCAGTTGGCTGGTTTGTTTTAAACTTTTCTCTACAGTGTATCAACTGGACCTATCACTTTAACAAGGGAAAATGTTTTAAAATAGTAATGTCATGTTTTTAGCTTTAATTTCTGCTCTCTGATACATAAAGATGATCTAGAGATAATACAGTATCACAATAAAGCCTTAGCAAATGTCCTTCAGGAATGCAATTATTTCATATTCACAGAGAACAATTATTGACTTGCTTGCCACAAAGCTAATTGGCTCTTCTTTTCAAAACAAAAATGTAAACAAATCAATAAGTCCCCATGAAAACAAATATTACCTTTAAATTCATACCTCTTTCAGCCATGAGTTAACATGAAGTGCTATAAAGGCAGTGGACACAGACCTAATGTCCTAGAAAAAAAAAAGCCGAAGAAAACCTCAGATGTCCTTTTTAAGAATCTCAGTCTCTAAAATTATGAATAATAATAGAAGGGAAAAGCAAGAAAACTGTTTTCATATTCTAGCAATGGGGTACAGAATACTCTAAAAATCATGGAACATACTCCAATATACCCATAATTTTAATTCAAATGAATTCATTAATCACTGGTTACACTTCACAGTGCAAGATTCATCATGATACTCTTGACAGTTTCTAAAAAAACCCCACCAAGAATGTGGTATCTTGCATTGAATTGCTCCAGTTTGTGCTTTGAAAGATAATTTAGTACACATCGCACTTCCCCGGCTGCAATTTGCCCCACTGGTTATATTGCACTGAACAAATGCACCACTTGGCAAGCCCAGTTTATGAGTGGCAAATATCACAGGACAGAGAAGAGACGTGGCAAGGCAACAGCTGTTTTAACCTCATCAGTTCAATTTATGGTAAACCTGTTGGCCCAATCCTTTTCCCTCTTTATTTCACTTCAGTCTGCTCAATTTGGTAGCCACTATGCCCATTCATTAGACAAATGTAAACTGAGACATTAGAAGGCAATATAAAAAAAAAAAAAATTAGAGATCTGAACTAGCTGCATGATTGAGACAGAAGTTTTAAGATTCCTTCTTACAATTAGCCTCCAAGGATTACTTACAGCAAAGATGATTAGGAAATTAAAATAATGACAACTTAGAATTGTCTTTTCTTATTTCCAATACTTCCCTTCGTTCTGATTGCAGGAGTAATTTTTAAGTAGTATCCATTTTTATTATTAATCCATTTTCCCACAGGCATGTCATCAGAAGTAAAATGCCTTAATGAATTAATTTCCATGCCATGTGCGATTTAGTGGCTGTCAAATGAATCCAAAGTGCATTCACCAAAGACTGTATGTTTCTCCATCATAAATTTAATTTTTAATATGCATATGTCTTCCTTCACTGCTACTCTAGCTATTAAATTAATTGTATTCAGAAACATATTAAAATCAAAGTACAGGCCTGAAAAAATACAGCTCTGGAATCACACTCGTTTGTAAAATGGGAACTGTTTCTGGCATGCCTTTCAATTCAGACAGACTAGAACATCTTACAGGTGTCTAGTGCTGCACACAAAATATTTTTAAAAAAGGACTGCACAAGTGTCCTCAATCAAAAACAGTAGCTAGTAGTAACTTAACAAGCTCTTGGCATTTGCAGTATTTTGAAGGATGCTACTAGGAATGGAGAATGGAGAGGAAACACTAATCCATTACTCAGCTATCTGGCAAGAAAGAACTGAGAAATATGAGGAGGAAAAAGAGGGTTCCATATTATTAATCCAGCATCTATCAAATTCAGTTTGAATGTAACATATACATAACCTCCCAGCTATCCAAAGCTGATATTTTTATGTACTAGGAGCAATAGAGATGATTTTTCTTAAATTATTCACATGTTAACACTGAAAAAAATCAAAAGAAACCACCTGTGTTTTATGAGCTTGATATTCCAAAGGTGCTTACCTCTCTCAGATTCACACAGGGAGTAGGGTAAGGGAAGCTACAGACACTCTGCTGTGATATCCAGTTTTCCAAGACTTTAAGTAATAGCTGCACTTAAATATCTGCATTTTCTTCTCTGTTCTAATGAACTGAAAACCAACAATCCATTGCAGCCTACTGGCTTGTGCCCCTATGCTCATCTTGCTCATACTGGTAGAACAAGCACGTACTACTTAAAAGTTTTTTTGGTTTTTTGGGTTTTTTTACTTAATTTTAGCTAGAATTCATCTTTGACAGTTCATCCTAAATCAGTTACAGAGAAAACTACTAATAATTTTTAAGTTGCCTTACTAAAGTGTAAAGTATCTCTATAGTCATATAGAGATAATCCTGTCTGTGCACTCTCTTTTTCTTTTCAAGGATCTGATAACAGACCTAAAAGAGAATCTCTCTCATCACTTTAAAGAAGTTATGGTTGGCTTGATGTACCCACCAGCATCTTATGATGCCCATGAGCTTTGGCATGCCTTGAAGGTAATCTTCATATTCAGAATTGCTTATAGTTACAGTCATTAATTAGAATACTAAACATTTTTTTTTACATTAATTGATTGATAAGCAACTGATAGTTAGTACACTGGTGTAGTGTACTATCACTTAGTCCATCAGTGTGCTAAAGCCAGCATAAATAATATCCTTGTCATGGAGCATATACAACCCATTTAACACCCATGATAAACTCAGAAAATGAAGAAATATTTATACAGGCAAATGTAAGGTACTGGTTTTTGCAAGCATTTATGTATGCTACAAACCAAATTTACTTCCACAGCCAGTGCCATGCACTTAAGTCCACCTCTCTAAAGACCAATACTTCTTTAGCAGAAGGTCTTTGCACAAACACTTACAAATTACTCCGTGACAAAGCGTCACAGCGTACTGCACAGTTGAGAGGGCCATGACACACAGAGTATCACCATACAAGTTCAGAAGACTTTAAGCATACACCCATACAGAGTACCACCATACCTCATCTGAAAGTGTCTGGCACCTACCTATACAGAATGACATCATCCACTTCAAAAGGTCACAAGCATCAACCCTTTTTTGCTCTTTAGTCCAGCCTTTTATACTCCTCACCTTACATGCATTGCATCTGTGTGTCCTTTGGTGGTTGGTCAGTGCCCCTGGGCACTCCATGGCTCATTGCTGTCAGTGCTGCTCACCTGCTGCTCACAGCTGTGCCCACTGGGGATGGGCAGCCCATGTGGCCCCACTCCCAATCATCACAAACTGTGTGTCTACAATAAAGTAACTCCATTAAAACAGAACTGATTTCCCATTTTGAAGGAAATGCTTCCTTTTCTTCCCTGGATCTGAGACTGCAATCCTCACACAACTGAAGTTTGTGAACAAAAACATTTTTTCAAATATCAGGCCATTTCTGGTAAAATTCATTCCCAGAGGGCATTGTGGAGACCAAAAGCACAACTTAGTTCATAGAGGACTTCAATATATTCTTTGAAACCAGGTTGGCTGTTCACTATTGAAAATAATTTTTCTCAGGAAATTCCTGAATTACCAACTCCTAAAAGACAGGAAGTCATATCAAAGTTCAACACTGGTTTCCTTTTCTTTCCATGAATATTTGCTGCTGTCTGCTGTCACAAGCAAGACAGAGATTACAAGACTTTGGGCAAGAAGATTTATCTTGCCAATTTTGAGAATTCTGCCACCCCCAAAAAAAAGTTAATAGGTTTTTTTTGTTCTTCAGACACTTAAATCTTTAGAAGTATTGGTATGTCTTTATTATAGTTGGCATTAAAAGGATTGTGAAATATCATCACTAACAAAGGAATCATGTCTTTCATTAGCATTATTCACAAAATTGCCAAAGTTTATTTTTTCCTTAATGTGTATCAAACTTGAACTGTCTTACAGTACTCTATCTTGACCTGGATTCATATGGCCAAGGTAAAAAAAAACAGCCCATGTGTATCTATGGGCTCTAATGTTCTCCCTTTATCCCAAATGCAGAATAGTCATTAACACTATCCATGAGCATATCAAAAGCAGCATATGCACCACATCTTATGTCAATTGAAGTTTATAAAATTAATTCAAACCCTGTGGGAAAATACAGTGATTTGCAGCACTGCATGTACTCCATGATGCTTTCCTTTAATACCAAGTTCTATGCTAGATATTACAGACTACAGCATTCCTAAATAAATTATTTAAAAAAAAAGAAGATGATAAGAAGAGAGAAGACTAACATAATACCTATGCTCATGTCTACCTCAGATTTCCTGAACACTTGCTAGGGATGTATGCTCAATTGTTGCATCTGATTTCTTTCAGCAAACAAAAATTCTTACTAAAGTTCCAAAATTATTCCCATTATGTTTCTGTCAACATTAGTCTTGCTTCATTTCCCACTTGCTAAGGTACATGCTGAAAGTCAGATTTAGAAATATATTTGAAATATATTAATTTGAGCAGGTAGATTATGCAAAAGTACACTACAGAAACTGCTATTATTTTGTTATTTCTGATAAGGACGGCATTGCTTTCTTTTAAAAACTGGGGTTTCTACTACACAACATTTTTTCATATTTACTTCTTTCCATATAGGGAATAGACACAGAAGAAAAATGCCTGATTGACATATTAGCCTCAAGATCAAATATGGAGATCTTCCAGATGAAAGAAGCCTACCTAATGCGTAAGCTTTTTTACCAAGTGCAGAGTAGCAGCTGTACTATGTGTGTTCTGGAGGTATTAGCAAACAGAGGAACAGAACTACAAAAATACAGTACAGACCAGCACAGACTGGCTCCCTTTCCACATCTTCTCCCATACCTACATACAAAAAGCTGAAGCAATGTGGTGGGTGGGCAAGTCAGTGGGGACAGTGGCTGAGGGCCTCCAGCAGGGCCAGATGGATGTGCCAGCCCCAGAGCCAGGTCCCTGTAGAACCTGCCCAGGTTACACTGGAATAGAGTAAGCCTATTTATCCTTTGATTGATAATCTTCGTTTGTACCATTCAGAGCATGTTCATTTGTGATTTTAGATTATATGTTTTTGGTTTAATCTAGAATATAATACTGATCTTCAACAAGATATCAATTCTGAGACTTCAGGGCACTTCAGAGATACACTCATGAACCTCGCTCAGGTACTGCAATAACAAGAACCATGACTAACATTTCTAAAAGATTCATAATGACTTTCAATAGTATTTGATAAGTTTTGCATTTTAAGGTGACTGTGATTAAAGCTAGTTCAATAGGGCTGCACTTTTAAACAAGAAACAGGAGGGAAGCTGATGAAGAAGAGAAACTGAATTCCTTAATCTATTCTGACTTAGACTTTGGATATCAGATGGAAGCAAAGGTAAACAGATTATTCTATAAATTCCCATTGGTATTCACCTGCTGACCCTTTGCTCCATCTGTCTCATCTCAAAATGAGTCTACTTGCATGTACAAGTGTGATTGTAATTCTTAAAAGTGTATGTTTTCTCCATTATCAGAATACATGATAAACAAGTCAAACATTATGTGAAAATAGAGATATATTTACATTTGACTAAGAAATAAAGAATTAAAGAATTCACTGCTTAAAATATAATGCTCTTTGTGCTATTATATATGCTAAACCACAAAATGCTAGCACAGAAGCAAAGGAAATATCACTTTTACATACCAACTTGTGTCCGTAGTTTATACAACAGAGTGGTCATCCTTGTCATTCTCATTGCAGTTACTGGGCTCATTATCTTTAAAATCTTCTGTAAACCAGAGTAACAAATAATAAAGGACTGCCATGGGATAACAGCATACATAAGGTGTATCTGTACTTTTAAATATGTGCATGTCTAGGGAAAAACTTCTTACACAAATTTGAAGTAACAGTAGGCTTCACTGAAGTTAAAAAGACAGAAGTTTCAAAAATAGAAGCTATAAACAGAAAATATTTTTCTCATGCTGGATGTTTTGTCCCTAATAATGAAATTTTTTTCCTTGCTTAAAACTGAAGAGCAACCTCACTTAAGCGACCTCACTTCTCATAATTATTAAAACCATGGGACATACTTTACCCATCAAATGAACCAAATTTAAAGTAATCTCTGATTATACATTACTAGACCTAATTTTCTTAAACCCCAGCAGGTATTGATAAAGAAGCCTAAAATCAGCAATTTCATGGCTAACAAAATCTGCTATTTCACTCAAGATAAGGAAGAGTTGCAGGAAATTTCAACTTGGCTCAGTTATACTGAACTTCTGAAGATTTTTAGTCAAATCACTCATGCTTGCATATCATCTTATATTAAAACACAGTGGTATTTCATTAAAACATACCCTTTCTAGTTCTATAACCATGCAACATTTCCAGTGCATCCTTTAATGCTTTTTTGCAGAAAACCTCTGCTTTGATTTCTATTAAATCAGACTACTGAGAGAAAACTGACACATGCTCCACATTTGCACAGCAAACTATTCAATTGCTATAGTATTGTATTTACGGTTTTCATGTACAACCTGAGGCAGATTAGAAGTTATAGGTTATGGTCCTTCCTAAAGAAATTAACAGAGTTTAAAAAGTTTCAAATTCAGGCTAATTAATATTCTAGTCTGAGACAAACAGATTTTATTCTAATTCTCTTTTTTTGGGTATTAATTGAAATATGATAATTTTCTACAATTTAAAACATAATTATAAAATGTTACTGGAGAAAATGGACATTTCACTCATGCAGAGTATTATTAGAGTTATTTTATTGTACACTGCCCTGTCTTTATTCCCCTGTTTTCTTGTGTATGTAATTTTATGCAACCATTCCATCACAACTCATTTCAGATAATTTATCCTACTACTAGAAATTTCACTGAGTGAAATTATCACCATTTAATTAACATGTAAATTAGCATTTTTAACAAAAAAGAACTACAAATAAGTCATTCTACAAGCTCACAGCCAATACCTAATTTTAATCCTTCCCTTCATATATAAGGTAACATGACTGTAAATTTTAAACAAAATTGCTTCAAGCACATATTATTAAGGCAGTAAATACATGAGCTTCAGATTCTTAAGAGTTCTGCAAACAAGGCTGATTTGTACTCTTACAAGATGACTATGGTTATAAAAGCAATTCCAAAAGTAGGTGCTCTTCTCTTTTTCTGACTGTATAATTCAGACCATAGTCTCTTTACTTAAGAATTTAGCTTGGTTTGTGTAACTGAAAAGCTATTAAATGTATGGAAAAAAAGGGAACTATTCTTTTGGGTTTGTGTATCAAAGTTGTCATCAAAGAAACCATTTCCTAACCCTGGATCTTAATTTTAGACAATGATTATGAGCAAGCAAAATCTCTATTAGTTGATGATCTTGCTCCTATGGTTTGCGCAGAAGAAAAATACATTGAGAAAAGATTTTTCTGGTAATATGAATATTGATAAGAACTAATCAGTGAATGGCAGATGTTACTCTTATCCTTGTTTTCCCCTCAGAGTTACATATCAGAGTAAACAATATAACATCCATAATTCTGAAAATAGAAGTGGGATTGTGTCGGTCAGGTAAAAAGTTATTTAAAATAGGACTAAAAATGGGATAGGTTTATCTACTTCCCCCACTTCTTCCTCACACAAGACTGTTTTCATTCCAGAATTCCTCTTATTAAAGAAAACTAAGACATAATGTGACATCTTGAAGATATTGTCCACATTTGCAAATTCAACCATGCAATATACTGATTCAACCTAAAGGCCTATATTTGTTACCTCAAGAAATCCAACACAGCTTCATACAGAGAACTTTATATTCCTACAGTGGTTTAGGATCTAACTTTTGAAGAATTGATATCTCTTTTTTCCCTCAGGGAACAAGGATGGAAGGATATGCAGACCCTTCTACAGCTGCTCAGGATGCAATGGTAAATATGCTCAGATGTGAAGTTCTCAAACATTAAAAAAAAAAAAAAAAAAAAAAAAAAAAAAAAAAAAAAAAAGGACTTACTTTAAATATTTTGCTTTTTTTTTTTTTTCAATTTTTCTGATATATTAGATTCTATGGGAAGCATGTCAGCAGAAGACAGGCGAACACAAAAACATGCTGCAAATGATTCTCTGCAACAGGAGTCAGCAGCAGCTGTGGATGGGTAATCCAGCAGTTCAGCTGTTTGCATACAGAGTGTAAAGGAAAAATGGGACTCGCTGAGAAAGCCATGCTCTGCATACCAAGACAGTCAGTGTGCAGCAGGTCATTAGCCTGAAACCAAGTGTGAACTGTTGGGGCTCTCAGACTTGCACTGATGTGAATGGGTATTTGGAAGTAATAAAAAACTGAAGTTTGCCCGATGACTACTCACAGCTGTAGACAGAACAGACAGGCATCAGGATGCCTAGTAACCCAGAGAACAATGTATGACCAAAGAAAGGCAAAAGTTACAGCTGCACTGAGTCTACACATGACACAACAGGATGGGGGAGATTTTTTTTTTTAACTATTTTATTCATTTTTCCTAAGCAACTCTTATGAGGGAAAACACCTAGGGAGAGCTGGATGGAATATTTTCAGCAAATGCTTGCATGTGAAAACACATTACTTTGTTGAAGCTTTTCCCCAGAAGTTTCACAGAAGTTTTTATGAGAGGACTTCATTGTTCACACCTGTTTTCCAGTAACGAACAGAAACACAAGGGCCATTTTTACTTAAAATAGAAAATCAGATACAGCTACAGATTGCTGTGAAATTTATGTGAGCTTATCCAAATCTTCCTTTGTAGAAAATAAACCTATTTCACCTGGTGGCAAGTTTGAGTTTCTGCTCTGCAGTAGAAAAACAGTCTGTCTGCTGACAAGTTTATCATTGTGCAGCCAGCTGTATTTCTTAAGACAACTTCCAACAGTAGCTTAGAACTACTTTGCTGTCATGGATCAACAAATTCATCCAGCTGATGATGACAGGATTAACACACCTGCTCTATGTTCTGCTCTCTTCCTGACATCTGAGGGCCCTGCCTGCACTGTAGTCCTCCATAAGTTTTGTAGTCAGCAGAAAAAGAATTTTCCTCCTTCCGTAATGGAGAAAGCACACCCTGGACATTTGGGTGTCTGCGTATCTGCACCTTGCAGCGAGTGTGGGCGTCACGTGAGTCCTGGCTCCTTGCCACAACCCAGGAGTCGTGCCAGTTTCAGCCGAGCCAAGCAAGGAAGTTGTTTTACCAGCAGGACATTCTTCCGAGTGTCACAAACAGACGTTGCTAGATATGTGGCATGCATTCATTTCATACTGTAGGCTGAAGAGCCCAGGGGAAAATGTCCTACAAGCCAGGTTTCAGGCTACTCATTTAGGTTGCCTGACGTGGGCAATATAAACACTTTGAAACACTGAGAATAATAAGGGTAAAAAATAAACTCAACAGTTATAGTACTGGGGAGAAGCAAGGAAAAAAAAAAAACACAAAAAAGCAAGTTGACCATTATTAATGAACTAGAATAAAACAAGGTTTTTTTCCACCCCTCCCCCCCAAGTTTTCCAGGAGTTCCAAAATATCTCTGGGCAAGACATAGTCGACGCCATTAATGAATGTTACGATGGATACTTTCAAGAATTACTGGTTGCAATAGGTAATGTAAATATATTCTTTTTACTAGCAGCAATCTCGTAATAAATTCTAGTATATCATCTCTTGTGCATCAAGAATACTATTTTTCTGATAATTTATCCACTTTAATCTCCTATATTGTGCAATTAAATTTTCAGAGATAATTAGAAAAGAATGTTTTAACTACTTTCTCGTGTTAGTGTAAATCTAAAAATGTATCTATGCAGCACTAGCTTCTGCCTGAGCAGAACTAGTATCTACTTTATTTGATAATAAATTTTGTGTGATAACTGCATTTCCAACTGATTTTACATATTAAATAACCAGATATGTTTTCAGGACTTTGGTGGTATATAAATAAGTTTCAAGCTTTATGTACATTTATCTTTCTTTTATAGAGTAAGGATAAAAATATTTCTACAAATATGACATGTGAGTGTATTCACTGATATTTAATAGGCCTTTTGATGTAACAGCAAACCACCACCAAACTTTCAAAATTATAAATATAGTTGTATTAGTAAATATTGGTAGCTTAATTTTAACCTGAGACATGGACAGCACTACCCAGCCTTTTATTTCAAGGAGCCCAAACACTAAAGAAATTATTTTATAATAATCTTCTGTTTACCTGTTGCAATTCTCCCCTCCTAGTTCTCTGCATTCGTGACAAGCCTTCCTACTTTGCTTACAGGCTTTATAATGCAATTCATGTAAGTAGTCATTCTACTTCACATTTCATAAAAATAAGCTTCCCTATATTTTTTTTGTTTCTTTGTTTGTTTGATTATTCTAAAACAAGTACTTACAAATCAGTCTCTTCAATATTTAAGGTTTGACCACGTGTTTTAAAACTGTTGGTACCTACATAAATTTCAAAGCAGTAGTGCCTAGGCAACTTAGCAGTAGAAGTGCCTAAGCAATAGAACTAAAAGTTTAAGTATTTAGATACCTTAAAATTATCTGTCTGGTAACTGTCAATTTTTTTTTAATTGAAGACTTTTTTTCTATGCATGGAAACTCCTCCTGCTGTGCAGAACTCAATGTGCATTATTCTTACTACATAACATTTTGTCTGTAAATATTTAATAAGTATGGCTAAAACTTAAATAATAAATTAATGTTACATGAAGACAAATGCTTATATTTCTTTGTAGCACTTCATGCAGATTCTTTTATTCTTTGTAGAAGTGCTAATTTCTTTTGACTTTTCATTGCCACTAGATGTCCCCATTCTTCACAGAATTATATTATGAAAATTTATTTCGAAACAGTTAAAATAAAACACATCTGAACGAAAGGTATGTAAATTCTAAAGCTATGGTTAAAAATCTCACAGAATTCATATGAGGCAGCATTTTTGTGAAATAGATTACTGGCCTCATTATAGTTTGAATGGACTCCACAACAACAGTCACAACTGCTACTCACAAACTGAATTCCTAGGAATATTGAAAAAAGTTTGTCATATTTTCCCTTCTTAGAAGTTTCAGTGCATGGATAAATCACTGGCATATAGGGACACCCTGTTATAAAGTTACATGAATTCTATTATTTGAGTACATGAAAACTCAGTAGAATAAAACCCTTAGACTCCTTTAACATCTAGGATACCTTTACGGGTATACCTTATATATGCTATATACTTATATATCCTATATGGGTATATCTTGTCTTTATCTATTAAACATTTATACGAGCTTACACAGATGGGCAAACACATATTATGCAAATATCAAGTTTCCTCTCATTTTCTTCTTTCATTTTAGGACTTTGGGTTTCACAATAAAACAGTTATTAGGATTCTCATTGCCAGGAGTGAGATAGACTTGATGAACATCCGGCAGCGATACAAAGAGAGATATGGGAAATCACTCTTCCATGACATTAAAGTAAGTTTTTACAAACTTCTGCATTTATTCAGCACTGGTACCACACAGACTGTACCACTCTGTTTATCCATTTGGTTTAAAACAAAACAAACAAAAAAGCAAGATGTAAAAACAGTATCACATTTTCAGTGCCTCAGTTTGATTTGAATGAGAAATTAATTCTCAACTCACTCTCTGTGATTTTATCCCTCCCCAATGCAAGATGTGTTTATAAACAGGGCATGACAGTGTGTGCTGAACAAGAGTTTGTATGAATGGTTTCTACACTAATTGAGAACATCTTATCTCATGTTGATCTGTAAGGCTAGGCTGGTACCACTTTTGTGCAAAACTGGAGTAAATATCTGGTTTTATCCTTGTGCTTAGATAGTACCTACACAAACCCTGTTCCTCTTGTACTCCTGGTCTGCATCTTGAAAGAAAACTTTGAATCTGTTTAATTGTACAGAAAAATGTCTCTTGCTAAGACACTACCTTTTTTATGTCACTATAATCCAACTGCAAGATATGCAGCAACTTTACAAAATTGGTCATGAATTTTTGGTATTGAACTTGAGAATTAGTAAACAGATTTGATCCAGCCTTTCAAAGACAGTTTCTAAGTGCCCAAGAAACCAAAGGCCATAACAAGTGAAATTAAAATAAAAAAACTCAGCCTAGAACCATTATGAAAACAATGCAGTATTTTATAAAACCTTACAGTAGTCTAGTCCTTGTCACACACCAAAAAAAGAAAAATTCAGAAAAAGTACAGTCAAAGAAATATATTGGTTTTGTTTTTTTTTTTTTCCTTGCAGCATTTTGCTTCAGGGCATTACGAGAGTGCTTTACTTGCTATCTGTGCTGGTGATACAGAAGATTATTAAGAAGATGTACTCTGAAAGCTGTGAAAACCTATTTTAAATAGAAATTATTGAAGCTATATGAAATGCACTAACTGTAAGAGATCCCTATTTTACAACAAAAAAAAAGCAAAATCAGTAATGTACATTTGCTAATATTAAATCTTTCTTGAGACAGGAAAAAATGTTGGCAGGAACATGGTTTTATTCCTAGTTCTAATTAATATTTCTGATTTTATGATTAATGAAAATTAACGGAGCAAGTGTAAAATGACTCCCCGCAGGCTTTTGTTTATTATTTAGTGTCACAACACCCCAAACATTCATCAACAGGCTCTGGAAGAATTCATTCACTTTCACACTAGAGAAAATATTTTGCTTTATTTACTTTTAGCAAGATTTCCTCCTTTAAGGAAATTTTTTCTTGTCTTTCCTACTTCTTATATCTCATATTTTATGCTCTTCATCATTGCTGTTTTAGTTACAACCACACTAAGCATCTGCCCCCATCTACTATCACTGTCAGAGGGCTTTCGTATTCTCTTTTACTTAGATTACATACTTAATGGCCTTTCCCCTATTCTGCTTGAAACAAAAGTAAAAATCAGAATCAAGTACTCCATGCACTGGAAAACCTGGAAGACGAAGCACTACTTAACTCTAAGCAGAGAAGTTCCAGAGGATTAAACTCTGAATTCCATTTTTACCCATCTCATTTTAAACATCCATGGAATATTGACCTTCAGAGCACGGAGGTATATCCAGACTGCTCTAGGTGGCAGAACTGACTGCCTGTGGGTGACACTGCCCCCCGAGCGAGGCTGAAGGGCGCGGCGCTCCCTGGAGCAGCCGCGGACAATCCGCCACAGCAGCCGGAGACCGCGGCTCCCGCAGCGACGAGCAGAGGCGGCAGAGCCCGGCCTCGAGTCCTCGCCCCACGGAACAACGTGACGCTGCCTGGAATACGCCGGGGCTGTTCAGGGCATGCTATGCTGGACGTAGTATTCCCTGTCAGCCTCTTATGGAAACACAAGGGAGGGAAAGTGTGGTAGCGTTCACTAAAACATCTGCCCGTGGCTTTTCTCCGCCGCCACAAGGTGTCCAACTGGACACGGGCGCTCCGGATGTTCTTACAGAGGCACTTTCTGCAGGTGCAGTCCGTGTGACTGAACAGAGCACTGCTGCAGAAAGGCACAAATACCTGCTTGCTTTTGTGCCCTTGGCGCCTGTCGCTTCCCTCAGCCTCTGGAAATAGCGCTAATTACAGCACATCTGGCTTCACTGCAAATACTGACATCGTGCTACAAATATGTTGATTTATAATAAACTTAAAATTTCTTTCCAACCTCTCTTGAGTTTGACTCATTTCCAAACACTTCGGGAGGATAATAAGCCAGAACTTTGGGGCGAACGGCGCTGGCAGTAAAAGTAAACAAAAAAAAGGGGGCGGGGGGCGAGGAAAATAAGCTGAGCACTGCCCCAGTTGCTGAGCACTAACATCATTGTAAACCGAAGTTCTGTTCTGACTTTGCAACCGTAAACTGGAGGTAGCTCCCAACAGCCGTACCTCGGCACTCCGGAGTCACTTGATTTTAACTCTGCGGGTTCGCAGAAAGGAACAAGGACACTTCTCGGGACTGCAAACGCGCCGAGCTCCCAGCGCCTCCCGAGCTCCCGTCCCATCACGTGAGGCGGGAGTTCCGCCCACAGCCCGTCACAAAATGGCGGCGGCGGCGCTAGGACCCCGCGGGCGCCACGGCATTCGCGCGCCAGGCAGGAGGCGGGTCCCAAAGCCCTCTGTCCCGCCCCCTTGACCTCGCCTGCTTTTATTGGAGAAAGGCGATGTCAATCTCGCGCCTTCACCTATCACCAACGCTCGTCTCCTGGCCCCGCCCCCTGCGGCCGGGCGCCACTTCTTGGGAAGTTGACGGCTGGAAGTGGCGTTTGGAGCGCGCCGCTCCCGGGTTCTGTGGCAGCCCGGCCGCAGCCCCCCCGGTGCCATCGAGCTGGAAGCGGAGGGGCAGTGGTACGAGCGGAGCCCGGAACAGCAGCAGGAGCGGCGGCGGCCGCTCGACCCCTGTCCGCCGCCGATGGAGGCGAGCCTGACGTGCGCCGTGTGCCTGTCGCTGTTGGAGGAGCCGGTGACGCTGCCGCTGTGCTCGCACAACTTCTGCCGGGGCTGCGTGCTGGAGTGCCTGGCCTCGGCCGAGGCCGCCCGCCTGCAGCAGCTGCAGCGGAGCCCGGGACAGGCCCGTCTTGGCCGCGGGGCGCCGGGGCCGGGCCCGGGCCCGTCCTGCGCCCGGGTGCCTTGTCCTCTGTGCAGGAAGCTGTGCCTGCTGCCCCGCGGCGGCGTCGCCGCCCTGCCCGTCAACACCACCCTGGCGGAGGTGGTCAAGCTCTACCGGGCCGGCGCGGCGGGCGCCGCCACGGCCGGGGAGGCGGCGCTGGGGCCGAAGCCGGGGTCCGACCTGCTCTCCGTGCAGGCGTTCGGGGGAAGCTGCCAGAAACATCCGAGCCGGCCGGTGCAGCTCTATTGCCGCATGTGCCGGCAGGCGGGGTGCGGGCAGTGCGTCTCCGAGGAGCATCAGGGCATCTTCCACTCTGTCAACCTCATAGACACGGTGTACCAGGAAGAAAAAGTAAGCGCGGCCCTCTTCTTCCGCTCTGGGGGACTGGCTGGGAGGTTGGGCTGTCCACTGGAGATTGTTTTTACTCAGAAACACAGGAAAAACCTCGGCGTGGGGCAGGAGAGAGGCAGAGCGCTTGTGCTGCTTTGGGGCAGTGAGGGGTTAGTTGTTTGTGGCCTGCCGGGTTGTGCCTTTCCGGGCTGCCGTCACACTGCATCCAGCCCACACAGGGGACCAGGCGGTATTACACTAGCAACAGATCTGAACCCAACTTACTGAAGGACCTGGGGAGTTATTTTGGAGTCATGTCGGGTTTTTTTTTTGTTTGATTCGGAGTGGTGGGGGAGGAGTGTTGATGTTTGGTTATTGTTGTTTCTCCAAGTTCAGGAAGATCGAGCAACTCCAAAAAAACACCCACAGATGTTTTGTTTATAGGCTCTCTAGCTGCGATAGGTAATTTGGGTCACAGATAATTACATATTTAGGGTTATATAGTTTGGGTGAGTAATAATAAATGTATAAGCAAGATGCTTTACAGTCTGCATAAGAAGGCAGCTGCCTGCCATAGTGGGTGGTTGCCTGGTTGTAGAAGTTGTGATTTTTAACAAAATAAGAACCATTGGCTAGAATGAGCTTTTCATGCCCTGTGCAAGTTGAGATGCAGGGTGGCAGTTCTCTTGTGCAGTAATTAAAACAAATGCAGGGCAGTGATGAAAGGTACAAGTATAAAAGTTTAAGTACAGCACTGACTATTCTTTAAGACAAAAGTTGCTTTTACACTGATTTTCCTCCTGTCTTTCCCATCACCAGTTGTATGTCACTTGGGAAACTGGTTTGGAAAACAGCCTTTGCACTAGACATACTACTACATAATGTAAAGCAGTGATACTGTAGAGAAATAAAGGAGGAAGACTCAGTGATAATATTAGTTTAAACTCAAAGTGAAATATATTGCTTATGAACAGCTTTCTGGTTTAGCAATGTGAGGCATAAAAAGAAAAAGTGAGTATCACACAGCTTTTTGCCAAACTGGAATAACACCATTAAAACTTACATTGTGATAGATGTTTGTGAGGGGAGGGGTTAAAAAAGCCTGAGGAAAACAATGTTTTAACTAGAAAGTAGTCATTCTATCAGTATGTATTGTAGGTGAGCCTAAGAACATTGCTTTGAGAAACAGCAGAAGAAAGTTTGTGTACTGATCCAGGAAAGCCTTAAGTGATGTTTTGAATCACAGGCTTTTTTACTATATTGTTCAGAATATAGAATTGATAGGGTTGGAAGGAACCTCTGGAGATCATCCAGTCCAGACTCCTGGCAAGGCAGGGTCATCTGGAGCAGGTGACACAGAATTGTGACCAGGTGGGGTTTGAATGTCTCTGGAGAGGGAGATTCCACAGCCTCCTTAAGCAGCCTGTTGCAGTGGTCCTCCACCCTCAATGTGAAATAGTTCTTCCTCATGTTGAGGTGAAACTTATTGTGGTTTAGTTTATGGCCACTGTTCCTGTCTTTTCAGTGGGCACCACTAAAAAGGGCCTGGCACCCTCCTTTTGGCACTTGCTTTTGAGATATTTATATACGTCAATGAGATCTTCTTTCAATCTTCTTCAGACTAACCAGGCCCATCTCCTGCTGTCTCTCCTCATAAAAGAGATGCTCCAAGCCCCTGATCATCCTTGTGGTCATCCACTGAACCCTCTCCAATAGCTCCTTGTTTGTCTTGAACTGATTCTAGATAAGCACTGAAACTTTTTTTTTTTTTTTTATTGAATGGATGAAGTTGTAATTAAGTGTTTCAATTGTCTTGCAGTTAACCTTCTTTAGCACTCTGAAACAAATGAGGATAATAAATGAGAAGCTGGTGAATGAGATCTCAAAACAACCGAATGATGCAGATGTGAGTTACAAATGCTGGATATTCTGTGTGTATGTCTTTTAGTCTCTTCCAATGAGAGTTTATTCACAACCTGGAGCATACAGGTGCTCCTTGTGGCATAGATGTGCTCTGAGCTTACTTAGAGAAGTGACTCTGTTTGGACATTGCTATTGCATTTACATCTGGTCTTGTGTTCTCGTGCTTCTAGGTGATGCTGAAAAATGAGGTGGAGATAATTGAGCTGAAATTTGGAGAAATTTTCAAAACTCTAGAAGCGAAAAAACAGCAATTACTAGAAGATGTTGAAAATCAAAGAGGTAAAAAAGAGAAAGAGTTTCAGATTTGGAAGAAAATGAAAGAAACTCACAAGAAGACCATTGAGAATTTTTTGAAGGATTGTGAAAAGCTTGTCCATGAGTGTGATCCTCAGTGTTTCCTGGAGGTGATTACATTTTGGTTTTGATAGCAGTTGTCTAAAGAACTCAAATAAGCTTGCTGTATTGTAGATATGATTATAATCAAGCAAGAAAAAGTCAACAAATGAAAAATATAGGTTAAAATTACTTAATGTTTCATACTTTTTGATAACAACATTTTTCATTTTTAGAAAAGTCTGAGAAAGTTTTATATGCAGCTTATCAGTGATTTTTACTGTTTGCTTTCCTAAGGAACAGCATATTGCTGATTTCTGGAATAGGTCCTTTGGTGCCTCCAGATAAATAGGATGCTAATAAAGTACAGAGTTCGACTTATGTTTGGTCAAGGACTTGAAAAGGAAAATTTAACTTTTACTTGAAGTAAAAGCAACTCCCACTTTTGGAGAAAATACTGTGATTCCAGTGATTAGTATGTCACTAATCACTGCCACATCTCTCTTTCTCAACTTACTCCTTTTCTTTTCTGTTGTTCCTCCTCCCCCTCTTTTCTTGTCATTCCCCATCCCGTTTTCATCTTCCTCCTCCTGTGTCTCCTGGTTTGCTTCATATTCTGCCTGTTCCTTCTGTTTCTCCTTTGCCTTCTGTTTCTCTTTTGCCTTCTGTTTGCTCTTTCTCCACTTTCGCTTTTGGTTCCTTCTTAACTTCCTCATCTTTTTCCTCCCATTCCTCCTGTTCACCTACTTCCTCTTTCTGCTATTTGTTTTCTTTCTCTTTAACTTAACACCTCCCTGTCTGCCCTCCATAACAGTGCATTGGGGTTTTTTGTGTAAAAATCTAGTACAGTGAGATCACCAGATTTTTATAGGGAAGCAGCTCTAATCCTGTCAGGTGTTTTACTTTTCATTACATGTCCTTTGGGAAGTCCTGTGTGAGCACAGTGCAATGCACTGCACGTCTTGCCACCATTATCCACCTGACTAAAAACTGAAAGACACCTTTTTTGAGCATATTGAGAGCACATAGCAGAGCCTTTCCTGTCCAAGAAATGCAAAATAGTCCTTCATTTGAATGTCTGAAGGTACCTGAACTTCTGAAACTTACCAAGTGACGATATGGCCCATGATTTGGCCCATGGGCTCTGAAGGAGTTTTTTTTTTTATTTATCACAAAATATTACAAGATAAATAATTGTCATGGACATACTTGTTTAGGTTGGGTTTTTTATGTTTGTTTGCTTGGTTTTCTAATGTTAACAGCATTATTTTCTATAGTTCTGTGAAATGAAGACAGGTACTTTAGTGCTTTTGATAAAGCAATAACTCCTGATAGTTGGAGAAATGTCATATCTTACGAATTCTCATTTTATTTATAGGTTGCCTGTGGCTTGAATACAAGGTATATTTTTTTCTTGTTTTATTAGTTCTCTAGTTTTCTTTTCTATTTTTAACATGAAAAACTAAAAAATAGCTGCATTGGATATCATAAGATAAGCAATTTAAAACTAAAATAGTATTGAGTAATTGAGAGATTATAATACCTTCATATTTTGGTATATTACAAACTTCAGGAAATGTGTGAAGAATCTGAGTGACATACTATCTGGTATTACAGATAATCAAGCTTTTAAATTATCTCCTTACTAAAAAGTGAATATAGAAATTCATCAGTACTTGGGGATTGGATATTTTCAGATTTCTTATTTAAACTCAGGAACACTGAAGCATGCTTGAAGCTTTTACAGAAATCTTTGTGTAAGAGACTGTGGAAATTGTGCAGTATCTTTGTTTTTGTGTTGGTAGTGTACATACCCTGTAATGTCTTCTAAGGGTTCTTAAATACATTTCTTATAACCTTTTAACCTATATTTTAGAAAGAATATTGGAAATGGAGTTCTTTAAAATACAATGTGTTTCAGACTAACATTAACAATACTCTCTGAAGAAGCAGTATACTTCAGAGTCGGGCAATGTATGCTAAGGAAAGTGGAGGGGGTAATTTTTTTGTGGACCTATCAGCACTACTTCTTGCAGTTTTCATTGATTATGAATTTAAGTGAACAAATTGTTAGGGAAAAAAAAAACTAGAGAACTTGAAATTTTATTGTAGACATAATTTTTCTGATTCCTTCTTCTTCCTAGGGATTTCTTTATAAAATACTTTTTTTTTTTTAATGTTAGGCAGCTGTTATTTAGCTAGCATGTAAGCATGAAGAAATTTGTTCAAGTTGCATTTTGCAACAGTGTTGGTTTTTTTTTCCCTTTTCCAGAATGAAAACTCAGCTTGATGTGATGAATATAGCATCCAGCTGGGAAAAACCACCAGTGTATGTGCCAAAGAAGATAGATATCAAGTCTGTGGTTAATGAAATCTTAGCCCTGGAGTTAACACCTGTTGATGCAGGCATGGTTCAAGGTGAGGAAGATGGACTTAATTAAGATGAGATTTGGGAAGTCTGCAAATCTGGCATTTGTGGAACCAATTGCTCATAAACAACCTGCATGGCAAACACATGAAAGAAAACATCTGAGCAAATGAAATGGATGATAAATTCACGAGGGGTTTTTAAATGCTTTTTATGAATGTGCTTTCTCTAGCAGGTTGCTAGGCTGTGTGTTTGCAGTCTGCAGTACTTTTGATACCCAGCCGATAGCGCCGCTGTCAGAAGCGTGTTGCTGAACTAGACGGGCGTTTGTTGTGTCATGCAAATGTTGGCTATGCTCACATTAACTGCCTTTACCTCCCAGGAGGAGGTGCTATGTTTTCTGTAAGGCCAGGCATTTACAGCATTTTAAAAATGTATTACACAGGCTTCTTGCTTATATCACAGAAAATTCAACAAGGACTAGGGTCTCACTTAGGGCACTATATATTTGTTCTTAAATGGAATCCATTTAGGTGCACAGGAACCTTTCGGTGTTTCCTGTATTTAATATATTGTCCATCACTACCCTTATGTTTTTTCTAATAGAGCTGCCTTATGAAGGAAATGAGAGCTCAACTCTTTTTAAAGATACCTTAAAGCAGTGGCAGGACCAGAAGAATATACCCAATACATTTCTTGTAAGTTATTGCCTATGTGTTCTTCAGCATGGTACTATTTTGTCTGTTTTGGCTTATCAAAATGAAATATGTCTGCTGCAAAATATTTTTCAGCCTGTAGCAGGACAGGATGAAGCAGATGGTAGGAGGATCCCTACTCGCTTTATGTCAATATCAGAAATGTCAGCATTTCAAAATATGAGCCATGAGGTATGATTGAACATCAGTTGTGAGTATGGCTAAGTTACTATTTGTTGTGATGCAACTTTCTAAATAAACTTTTAAATCAGTTTACTCAATAGAAAGTTACCCTTACAATTCTAGAATGAAATCTGACTAGGTATTAAAGCTGTCAGAATTTTACTCTTTTTTTGCCTTTAGAAAGCTGAAACTTAATCTTATGACTGACTTCAAATACTTACTTTTATATTTAGTGTGGCTTTTTGATATATCTATTTTCACATCTGTAGTTTTCTAATCCACATAAACTTCCCTAGTGTCTATTTGAAGAGGCCATCATCTGCCTGTATTCTGTTTTCTATAGAATAGAGTTCCGTCTTGTAAGACCACATAGTTTGACATGAAACTGAATTCAGTCTCTTTTTTGTTTCATTTCAAATGATGCAGTTATGCAACTAGATTTTTTTTTTTTTTTTTTTTTTTAATACTTACTAGCAGCTCCCTGTGGGTGGCTGAGTATTGTTCTGCACAGAATGATTCCAGTTACAGTTAGTGCCATGGCTGGCAGTGAATCTCATTATGCGTGTTCTGAGAATACCAGTGGCAGATGATTGAATTAAGAAGTTGCTTAGGTCCTTTAAATATAGATTTTCTTTTTCCTGCATTGTTTTGGAAAGTACCTATTTTCTATTGCTATTGAGAATGCAATTATATATAATAACAAAAAAAGAACAAAACCTCCACCATCTAACTTAATTTCAGATGGCTATTTTTCATGAGAATTTGATTGAGAATTTGTTTCTTAATATCTAGGTTAGTGTTTTTATCTAATTTTGGTTTTGACAGTGACTCTAAATACAGTTTTCTGTAGTCTTCTCTTTCAAAACCTACTTTGTCGTCTGTGTTCTATGTGTTCAGTTGTCTTTAAAGCACTTTTTTCTGTAATGACTTGTGTTCTGTTCCCTTCCAGTAGCAATGGAAAAATACATTAGAAACTCTCTAGAGTATAGGAAAACTGTTCTTCATTCTTAGTCATACTTGAGTTTTATAACCTCTGAATCCACAAATGCCATTTTAGATAATGTGATGGGTTGTTTTTTTTTTTCTGTAATTCTAGGAGCTACGTTACAAATACTATATGGAACTTCAGAAGCTCACCAATGTGTTTAAGACTCAAAATTTCCCTGCAAATAAAAAGTATAAATTTGTAACTGCTGAGGCCTCCAAGGATAAGTCCTCAGGAACTTCTTTTATATCTTCACCTACCAAAGCGAATAAGACAGATAAAATAAAAATGGGAACCCTGCAAAGAGGAGGTGGCTTTGACAAAAGAAACTGTTCTGGAAGCAGTGCTCATGTCATCCCATCCACAAGTAGGATCTTTTCTGAAACAAATGGTGACTTAAAATTATTTCATGAGGGAAGTGGCCAGGAAGTATCAGGTCCAGCCTTGTCAGAAACCTCTCCAGACTTGTTAATTAAAGAAAAATGGCCAAGACAGGCATCAGCAGGTACTGTTTCCAAGGAAATGAACTCAAGTTCTGGTGCTTTATTGGACTTAAAGCCATCAGCAGCAACTTCAGAATCTGTAGATGTTTCAGCAGAGAGACCTTCAGGTGTACCTTTTACTTTCAGTGCATCTAACAACTCAGTACCAAGATCTAGTAAAGATAGAGGTACATTTTCCTTTAAAAAGCAAGACAAGAGATGTGCTTTCCCTCAGTTTTATTTAGGGAAATGTGATAAGGTAGATAAAACCAATAGCCAGGATAAATATGGTCCTGAAACCAAAAACATAGTTTGTGATGCTTCAACAAGTCCTAATTTAGTCTCGTCAGAAAGTGAGAAACCACACATTTTGTTTCCCTTTAGCAATTCAGAAAGAGATTGGTCTGCAGAATCAGAAGCTAGCAATTCATGTAAGGTGTTACCATCATCCTCATTTTGTAGCCAATCTGAGAAGCCATCTGACAAAAAAACATTATCTCACATGAGGGAAAAAGCACCTTGTGCAAAGGAGCCTGGAGGATACGGTACACAAAAACCATCTGTCTTAGGGGGACAAAAACTTCACACCTCAGAATCCAGCGTGACTGTCGCTTGCGGTACTTCAGAAACCAACACCGGAGCTGGGGTGAATGATGTCTCCAAGACCCCTCTTCTCACCAGTAATTGTGCATTTTCTTTCAAAAGTAACTTCCCATTGCCTTCACCAGTATTTTCATTTGGAGGCATTCTCAGAAATACCTCTGATTTGCTGACTTCTTCCATGTTTTTTTCTGGAAACAGAACAGAGAAAATGGATAAGGAGAAGATGAAAACTCCTGACAAAACACTTCTAAATCTAGGGAAACCTGTGACTTCAGAGTGTGCAGAGCCTGCTTCTCTTCAGAATCATCCAAAATGTGAAGGCTCGTGTTTGTCTATGAACTCATCTGAAAACACTGAAAGTGCAGAAAGCCTTGGTGATGGTAATGCTCCTTGTCAGCCTTTGTGTTCAGGAGTCTGTCCTGTTGAAGATGAGAATGCATCTTCCACTCAACTCACTGCAGCCACACAACAACAAAAAAAGGTAAAAGATGAAGAAACTGTTGCTGCAAACAACTGTGTGTGTCCTAGAAAGGAGGATGAACCTGAGCCTGTACAATTGCAGAGCACAGCTTGTTCTGTTCCTGGCACATGCAGTGATCCATCTTTCGGAGGTTCTGTGCTTGCAATAAGTGAGACAGGAGAAATGCTAAGAGACAGCACTTCTGACACTTAAGAGCTAAGTCAAACATCTGTCTCTACTGATACCAGCCATGCATCAGAATATTTTCTGTTGCTGAAGACAAAATGTCAAGTAGAACAAAATCAGATGTGAAGAGAGACTGAAAAGGAAAATAAGCTGGAATGAAATAAATGCTACTTAACACATTCAAAGGTGGGGATAGTTGTGATTTTACAGCTGTTCTCCCCACTTCTTGCCAATTGAGGTATCTCTGTGTTGGAAACATAACTGCTTATGAGCAGTACAATGCAATGAAGTGATTTTTTTATAAGAAACAACCAAAAATGTCATGTCCTGCTCAAGACCAAAGCATAGCTATAGATGCTGCGTCTTCAAGCATGCAAACCTTCTGGGGTATGTTTGGGGGATGGGGAACTGAGGTGTCCCAGAAAGCGGGCTGGGTGATGCCTCAGTGGCAGGAGGCAGTAAATTGCTGTCTGTGTGCAGCAGCATTTGCACTTAAATGGGTAAGAGAACAGCCAAGAGCATTCAGCTCACAGGGAGGGAGGAGAGCCACAACAAAAATAAAGGATATTGAATGCGGTACTAAAAATTGTTTTACTTATCTCCCCTTGGCTGTTTCCTTTTCTGTGATGTGTTTAATGTATGTTGAAGGTGTAAGTTTGAGTGTTATTTCAATAATTTCTCTTGCACTTTTGAAATGGAAGCATCATATCAGTGTTCTTGTTACACGCTGCGGAAGGGTGTGAGTTACACTTCTGAAGTGCTGCTTTCAGGAAAAAGAAACATTGCAACTAAATTTCTGCTCTTTTTGGCTACAGTTTGGGAATACTTGGACAAATTAACTTGCTGTTTCATTGAAAGCTTTTGGAGAACCTAGCTTTTAAAACACAAAAATTTTCTTTTAAAATCTGTGTGTAATGACAAGAAAAAAGGAAACCAGCACTTCTTACTATATGTGTTAATGGTTTAGAACTCATGGAATTTTTAGTCTGAAAATCAATACAAAGGATAAAAATACCATCTTTTCTACTTTGCTGGCTATTTTGTTTGATCCAAGAAATAACTGCTTTAGTTATTGGAATACACAGACAGAAGCACTGTTTCAGAATAAAGCTCTATTTTGTTCATGCCTCAGCAAAAGCTGATGCTAAGCTTTAATGAAATTAATTCTGTATTAGATAGATATGTCAACTGGCAGTATTAAAATGCAGAATAATTAATATTCCTTCAGAAGTTTTCTCTGGCAACTAGAAAAATCAATAATCTGCAAATTACCTCTCTAACTCTAAAAAAAATTACTTAAATTTAAATCTCTGCAGTACTTACTAATATACTTTGACATAGAACTTAGAGCAGCTATTCTTCTTTCAGTAAGTGTTGACCTAATTTCTTTTGCGTTCAGTTCTTGCCCTCATTTTTTTCTGTGGCAGTGCATTCCTTTATTAAATGTGTTGAAAATTATTAAATGTTTCTAGTTTTTATTACAATAATACTACTTTTCTGTCTGCATTATAATAAGGAAGGTGATAAAAATTCTCTTTATGGTTAGTCTTTTAGTTCTTGATGTTCATCTCTTAAATCTTACGGTATTTCAATTTTCTCTTAAGATTTTTTCTGATGCTATCTCTAGACATTCTTGTCATGTTTTGCATGTGTAAGAGAGAAATGTTAATTCAAATCACTGGAAGACAAAGGCTGAGCGAGATGATAATGGCAGAGAGTGTCACAGGTGGAGGTTGGTCTCACTCTTAGCAAAAGCAAGAGAAATTGAACAATTTTAGAGTCAGATGAGGCACCTGTAAAATTCATTGCCAGGAAGTTGCAGAAAATGTTTGTTTTCTTCTACACTGACAAAAAAAAATTCTTAATGAGCTAGGGTTAATCAGAATCTATAAAAAGTTTCTGAAGCTTACATATTTTCAACCTGTCTTCTGTTAATTTCTGTTATTTCATGAGAGTTTGATAAAGTTAAACTTCCATGCAGATACTTTTTCTCTTAGTGAAAAGATACCTTCATAGACTCATAAAGCAAATACACTACTATGTACTACTTTGAAAGTAAAAGTTGTGGGTGTTGGGGTTTGCTCTAGTCCTGGGGCTGCTTTTCAAGCATTGTTGTCCAAGTGCCTGATAGCTCAGCATTCGGGTTTTACAGGGCAGATCAGATTCAGAAACCCCCAACAAGAAGATCCTTGCCCACTCCCTTAACCATACTATGCTGACCTAGAAGGGAGCCCTTCCCCTGTTCCCTGAAAATGCAGTGAGGTACAGAATAACCTCTGGGTCTTAGGCATGCCTCCTCCTGACTACTGTAAAAAAATAACCCTTTCCTGACTGGAAGCAGCACAGTCAGTGATCTTGAGTGAACCAGAGCTAATTCAAAGAAATGGGATTCAGAGTTGTCCTTCATGTGTATTTTGCTTTTTATCCATAGAGAATGGCTTATACCACTATCTTGGTCATCGTCATAAAATTCTGTGTGATGGTGAGGACTGATGTCAAAGCCTCGCTTTCCTAGGTTATCTAAACTTAGGTATGTGTATATATTTTTTTTCAGATTACAGGTAAACGAAAAGGCAGTGTTAAAGTGAAATATTTGTCTGAAAATACTGCTGAGAAATTTGCCCTTGCTGGGAAAATAAAACCCAAAACCAACCAAACAAAAAACAAACAAAAACCAAAAAAAAATACACCAGAAAAAAAACCCAAAGCACCAAGGAAATAACATATTTTACTAAACTCAATAACTTGTTTTACACAATTCTGTGTCTTCCTGATTCCTTAAGATACAAGGGGTAAAAAATGAAGCAATTCTACATATGGTTGGAAAATTTTATTAGTCAAACTTTGCTATATTGGTATGAAGCCCTCTATATATTTCAGATTTTGCAAACTAAATCTGCAGGCCAGTTTGAAAGCTTTTATGGTGGTTCATGACTATACTACATGATTCAATGGAAGCCTTGGAAAGCAGCTAAAACAATTTATTTTTTTTATAATGGCTAAAGGACTTTTTGAACATACTTCACAAAAGAGGTGAAAGTTTCTAATGCTGTCCTACTGAGAGGCTAATCTGTCCAGCTGTCAGAAATGTGATATTTGTTCAATATATGTTACAGAGCTATATTAACATATATGTCACTGCCTGGAAAAAAAGTGCAACTGAAAGATGAAGTGCAACTATTTGGTTTTGTGACTATTAAGAAAATAAAAACAAAAAATTGTTTAGTTGACATTAGAGCTGCTTAAATGTCAATTTTTAAAGGTTAACTTCCTAAAGCAAACTTGGCATTATTTTGTATTTTTGGTTTGTTTATTATTGTAATATTGGTTATTAAGTAAGCTTTATTCTGAAATTGTACTTGATAACTCAGATCTAATAACTTTCTAACATGAATACTGCTGATCTGTGTGGTAAGACTGTTAAGTGCTGGTGTTTTAGTTGGTTTTTGTTTTTCAGGTAACATACTTCAGTTTCTCTTTATAGTTTTCTTCCAGCTGTTTAAATGCCAGTAGAACATTATTATTATTATTTGGATCATCACAGTTGACTCAGACTTATTCTGGTTTAATAAAAAAAAAGGAGTATTGTTCTCTTTTAAGTTGCTTTAAAAATGAAGCATATATTGTATTCTAAAAATCACAAATTTATCACACCCAATAGATTTAATAAGCAGTGAAAAATCCTTGAGTGCATAGTAAGCTTGTTTAACCTGAAGAAAGAAAAAATTCATTCTTCATTTAACCTGAAGAAAGAAAAAGTCAAATAGATATGCACTGGAACTGTTACATTGTTAATAAACCCTGTTGTGTAGGTAGGGTAAAAATGAAGAGAGCATCTGGCATGACCTCAAATACTGCCACATTTGTTCCCTGGGGTCACTGCAGAACAGCTGTAAGCCTAAACTAATAATGCTGCAAAAGCTCCTGTTTCTATAATTATATTGAGCATATAAGACTCATGAGTAGTATTAGAAAAGATAATTTATTAATATTATATTGAGAACATGGTATGAATTGTTTGAATAACCTGTTGCAAAGCTAAACTGGAACACTGCAGACAAATCTGCTGGCTAAATAGAGCAGGAGATTGTGTGAGCTTTCTGTCAATGATGAAGACCCTGTCTTTTGCAAAAAGGACCACTAATTACTAAAAACGAACTTAATAAACTCAGTTCCTAGTAATTAAGAATACTATGTTGGATTTTTTTTTTTTAATACAGTCAATATTTTGTTGAAATACTGGAATTATGGAAGGTTTTGGATTGGAAAGGATGTTAAGGGCCTTTCAGTCACCTGGGTTGGTGCAGTCTTAGGCACAAATCCAGGCTGAGCAGAAAATGGATTGAGCCCTGCAGAGAAGCACTTGGCGGTGATGGTTGATGAAAAACTCAACACAAGCCAGCAATGTGCATTCACAGCCCAGAAAGCCAACAGAGTCCTGGGCTGCATCAAGAGAGATGTAGCCAGCAGGTCAAGGGAGCTGATTCTCTCTTTCAACTCCCACTTACAGCAGAGCATCCAGCTCTGGTATCCCCAGTAGGAGAAGGACATGGAACTGTTGGAGCAAATCCAAAGGAGGGCCATGAAGTTGTTAAGTGGAGTGGATCATCTCTCCTATAAAGACAGGCTGAGAAAGTGGGGCCTGTTCAGCCTGGAAAAGAGATAGTTGTGTGGAGACACCATAGCAACCAGTATCTGAAGGAGGCCTACAGAGAAGCTGGAGAGGGACGCTGTCAGAAAACATAGTGATGAGACAAGGGGGAATGGCTTCAAACTGCAATAGCAGGTTTTGATTAGGGAGAAATGCATTACTGTGAGGGTGATGAAGCAGTAGAACAGGATGTCCAAAGAAGTGGAGGAGGCCGAGTCCCCTGAATGTCTTCAAGACTGGGTTGGATGGGACTTTGAGCAACCTGGTCTAGTGGGAGGTGTCCCTGCTTATGGCAGGGGGGATGAAAAAAGATAATCTTTAAGGTCCCTTTCAAGCCATTAGAGAATTCTATAGTCTCAACTCCCCTGCTGTGGGCATGGGCATCTTTCACTAGGCTGGTTCAAGGGGTGTCTCTCAGGGCTCTGCCTTGGGACCGGGGCTTGTCAGTGCCTTTATCAACGACATTCAGGGGCACTGAGCACCACCACATTTGCAGGGGACGGGAAGCTGAGCGGGGCAGGGGCACCACTGAATGATGGCATCATCCAGAGGCACCTGGACAAGCTTGAGAAGTGGGATGAGAACCTCATGAGTTTCCACAAGGCCAGGTTCCAAGTGCTGCACCTGGGTTGGTGCAATCCCTGAGTCACAGATTTTTCCAGGTCAGAAGAGACCTCCAAATCTCTCATTTTAGTGCTCCCACCACCTCCAGAACATGCACTTGGTTGGCCCTTGGGGCTTTTCCATCTTCTTGCCCACTTCCAGAGGGGAGCACACACAGCCTGTGCCTCTCTTCCACAGCCCCTGTGGGCAGCATGTCCAGCCGCCCTGCATGGGCTCCACTGAGGAATGTATTTCCAGAACAAAGAAAGCAACAGCTGTAGCAATTATAGCACCATATACTTGTGTGGTGCCATAGCCAGTTTTTCCTGACTTCTACCATTGTGTAATAAAAATTTCTTGTGTTGATAAAACTAGGTCTGAAGGGAAGTCATATTTTCAATCTAGTGTTCCAAAGAAAAAAACGTGAGTACTTTTTCGTCTTTACCCCAACCTGGGTCACTGTACAATACACAATTAAATATAAGCAGCCAAAAGGATAGGGTTATTTTCAGCCTGGATCATGCCAGTGTTCCATCCCTAAACTTTTGTACCAATACAAGCATCAGTACAGCCACATTTACACTTGCAGCTGATGAGCAGCAGAGGGAGGAAGAGTTGCAATCTATAAGCTGTTTTGTTTTCCCTGTTCAGTCTAACGCTCTAAGTATTATCTACTTTGTTGGTATTTTCTGCTTTCTCCTTCTTTTCGTTGGGATCCGACAGCAAGTTGGAGATTTCTTCTTTCCTCTCAGCATGTTGCCACTATCTCCTTACTGTAGTAATGATCTCCTCTGCCCCAGGCTGAACAGACCAATTGATCTCAGTTACTTCAAATATGGTTTCCCTTCCAGACCCTTCAACGTTTTTGTTGCCATCATCCTGACTTTCTCTAATGTCTTAATCCTTTTTTCATATTGTGGCACCCAAAACTGCACACAGTGCTCAAGGTGAGGCTGTCCAGAGCAGGACAATCCCCTCCCTTGCCTGGCTGGCGATGCTGTGCCTGATGCACCCCAGGAGAGGATTGGCCCTCCTGGCTGCCAGGGCACAATGGCTCAGGTTCAATTTACCATTGACCAGGGCCCCCGTGTCCCTTTCCACAGTGCTGCTCTCCAGACTCTTATTCCTCAGTTTATGTGTACATCCAGGCTGTGTGGAGAGGTTTAAATCTCCTCAGTAGCTTCTGCCAGTGCTCCCTTTGTGCCTGACTGGCTGCTGAGGGCTTCTAGGTCTGGGTGGGGCTTGGGGCTTGTTCCTGTGTCCCTGGGTTCGGGAATTCCCCTGTACATCTTGATATAATCCTCACTCCCAGACTCAAGATTATCTTTGAACTTATTTTTTTAATGCCACATCTTCATGTGCACACCCATAAACATAAATACATTACATAAAATTCACAGTGTGTGGTATTACCTGCCATGCATCTGAGTAGAAATTTTGAACCTGGGATCTCTGTCATCCTCTCTTCTCAAAATGGGAAATGGCCTTGTGCTTCAGAAGAAATCTAGCTACTCCCACAACAACACAAAATGTGGAGATCTGTTTGAATGTGTTCTGGATTCTGCCCATGCAAAGTACATCCCAGCATGAGAAAACTAACAGCTTATTTGGAGAAATGCCATATAAATTATACAAGTTATTCAGATATCAGTGTAATAAGAGTTAAATTTTTTTAAAAAGCGGAACAAATTGAATGGATAAAAGAAAAGATGTGGCAACAACATAAAACACATACCAATATATCAGAAATTATCTGATATTCAGTTAAAGATTTCAGCACTCAAGCTTTGTGCTTTTCCCAAATGTAGTGACAATGTCCTGTATTCTTTAGGGAGGTGCACATACAGAACACAAAGTAATTCAAAAGGAGCACAATTTTGGAACTTCAAACTGGCCTTCAAAGTAACTCAAAAAGCCACTAGGGAAGCTGAAAGATATTTACAGACAAATTTACATTAAAATTTACATCCTTGTAGGCTAAAAGGGGCAAGAAAAATTTCCCTCTTGAATACGAACCTCTAATGACAAAATTAGATGATCAATAATCTCAAAACTGACCATAAGAAGCTGATTACCAGGCTATTCCATCTCAATTACAATGCAGTACTAGGTGGAATGTGATAATCCCATGTGTGGAGCAGATTTAATTAGGCAATATAGTAAAGAAAATCACAGTTGATCTGCTAAGCAGTGTTTGCATACACTGCTTTTCTGAAAAGAAAAAAAAAAAAGCATAATTTAGAGAGAATACTATTGACATCATAATTTGGAAGTGAATGGGATTGCTGGACAGTCAGTTAAATCTGAACAAAATGCTGGAGGACACTGAAAAAAGCTTACACATTTCACAGGGAAAGTGCTTCTTGAGCACCACTACCTGATATGCACTCACCCCTGCTGTGCTAGGCATTTAAGAACATCTGCAAAAGGCAGCAATGTCATAGAATGGTAATGTAAAAG